AGTTTTTTTCATCTCACTCTTTACACAGAGTATTAAAGTCACAACACAAAGATTGTATGGTCAACCTATCAGATAGCAGCTACATCTATTTAGGTCTGAACCGGAAAGTTTTGGATCTTTTATAATCCATTTCTTGCATTCTTTCGCTGAAGCAACTATCTTTTATAATATCATTATTTATTTTTATACAAAACAACAGACGCTTGTTTGTTTTATTGCATATTATTATTATGGAGTGTCACTTATTATAAAATGATATAACTTTACAAAGAAATGATTCATAAAACTCATAAGTATGATAAAACGGTTACAAATATGTAATTAAAAAATGTCCTTTTAGTTACATCTTTTGAATGCATCTCGCTATTTTAGTAAATTGATAAAAAAAAAGAACGGACGGTCCATATTATTTTGCAAGAAATTATTTTATATCAGATTTGATATTTGACTTTTTATAAAAGGATTGACATGCAGTGAGTTTATTCATTAAATGTGTATATATTATCTAACATAACATGTCCATTCAAAACTATTTATTTTTGCACAATATATGATAATTAAATTGCTTTTATTAAATATCAGGACATTTTCATTATCAACAGTAATCGTACTTTAGCTCAAAACTTTGTGATTTACATATTTGATCTTGTAACAATATCGAAACTAAAAGTACTTTTGAGTACATTTTCAAAACTCGTTGCGATGACATGATATGTTGTTGCATTTTTTTTTCATAACCAGTTTTGCAATAAAACCGGGATTTGCAATACATTATTCTAATATCAGATTCGATATGAAGATTAGACTCTAAATATTATTATCCTTATCTTTTTTCTATGAAGAGTGATATTTATTTATTTTATTGTTCAAAACTCCTGTTTATAACTGGTTGTTAAAAAATTGCAACAAAATTATATCATCGCAACGAGTTTTGCAAGAATATTGTAAACATTTTCTCAAAGGTACATGTAAGTTTCGACATTGTTATAAGATCAGATATGTATTTCACAGAGTTTTGAGCCAAAGTGCTTGCAAAAGGTTATTCTCGATAATGAAAATATGCTTATGAATTAAAAACCATTTTATTATCATGTATTTTGCAATAATGAATTGATGTTAAATATTATTTATTCCCTAATACGCTACGCTCAAACGTAAATAAATTATCTATCCCATAATAAAGGCAATCGAAGGAAGAAAGAACAACAAATACATAATTTCACATTTAGGATTTGTTATCTGCATGGCCGTATATCTACATTTCTAATACATGTTCTTAGAAACAGCATACATGATATTAACATCTCACCGTTTCATAAATCGGTGTAATCTAAAATGACTTTCTTGACAATAATCTCATATCTGTATTGGAAAACACACAGTTATGAACGTACTTTCCCTGTCAGTAATGCTGCGAGTCGGCTGCGCAACCCTACTCCATCGTGGGAGGGGGACGTAGTAGGAAACCAAACCTCAAGACCAGCCACCTTCCGTAAGTGTTCTGACATAATTTAATGAGAAAATCCATAAAAATAATCCACTTACTTTGTAAAATGTAATTAAAAGCCGAATAGTACGCTCAATAACTGCACGCTGTCCACCTATAAGTTCAGAAAAACGTATAAAATATGGAATCTCTTCTTATATACAAACTATAAAAATTGAAATCAGAAAAGTTCAAGGTATCGTATTTCACTTACTAAAGAATCGTTCTCCAAAATAACGAACATCCCGGGAAAGTAATGCATCTTGTTCTTGGAATAAAATCTGAAAAATATAAACTTTATTAATGAACAATATTTTTATTAGTTAAATTCAAATCGTAACCAAAAACGTAAAAAACTTGACTGAATTAATCTAAAAATGCATCTTTATAATACCATATTTCATTTACCATTAATACATTTATGTATTTATAAATCAATTATAAACCTTGCAAAATTATTCTGCGGTTGTAAGAATATGCTTGTCTTTTTTATTAGCGTGTCGGAATGATTTATCAAGAATAAAAATGGACCAAGAAAAATCATTGTTACTGTACAGATTTACTATAACTGCGTGATTTTTTCGGGAGGGTAGAAGGGATTCAGTGCACGATAGAGTAAAATAAACATGTGTAGCAATGCAGAAAACCTGTACAAATATGGAAGCACCCTGTTTTAATTTTGTATTAACAAATAAAAATAAAGCCATTAAGAAATAATAGACAAATAACTTTAACATCTGGCGGGCACCAAGCTGACGATGGAGGAAGATCCGCAGTCGAGAACCAGACCTCAGAAAGGTGCGTTTAAGACTGTATTATCCACATTGATCATCTGGTTTACCAGTGACTTCTAGGAAAGACTGGATGGCAACCAGGAATAGATTTGTGACACTGGAGAGACAGTTGACCCCAGGAACAGACTGGAACCGGGGCACTAGGGGTAGCATCCCGACGTGCAGTCTTCGTGAGAAGACACCCACAGACAAGCTACAGACTCCACTAATGAAAGACACCCCCAGAGTCTTCCGAGAGGGGGGAGGATGAAAGACTCACATGGACGGATTTTCTGGAATCGACACGGCCTGCCCAATCGACTACGAACTCAGCACCAGGGACAGTAACTTGCCCTTGTGGCAAAGTCTGCAAAAAACCAACGAGGGTTTACGCATTCACCAGGGGAAGTCTGGTTGCCAGCGCGTGAGGCCACTGAGCAGCGCATAGCCAGTATGGCTAGTGAGACGCGGGAGTACTCCAGTCAGGAGACTACCCACAGTACTGATGAACTCTCCGCTCAAGAGACAGCGCACGATGCCACCCGGGATCCAATGATGGATGAAGACGACCCCTCCTAGAGCTACTGAATTACTCGCAGGACACTAGCAGCCAACCACAGGAGCAAGAGGCCGTCCCTGACCGACCACGCCCATGCCTACCACAAGAACACCAAGATCAAGTGGCCCAAGGCATCTGAGAAGGCACCATGGAAACAGTTTGACGAGGACCTAGAAATCATCCTCGAATCATCCATGCAAGGTCCAGTACACCGGAAGTTACACACCCTTTCCACCCTTGTATACTCTGTTGCAAGGGAGAGGTTTGGGATTGAAGAAACAAAGAAAACGCAAGGAGGCTCCAAACCGAACCGGGGCAAACACCGCATAGAGAAAAAACCCAAAACACCCAAAACCACAACCATGAGGAAAGAAAATTCAACAGCTGAAGAAGCATTACCCGAGACAGCTTCCATCAGGCCTGGCCTGTCCGAACTCGTGACACACGGCCGACACACAGTTAAGTCCTGCGGCGAGAGCTTGAGAACCGAGGAGAAAAGCGCAGGGAGGCGACAAGAAGAGGGGTGCGTTCACAGCCAACCACTATCAAATTTTGCGACTCTGCTTTACAAAGAGCGTTCCAGCATAACATTAGAGACCCCACTTGAAAGGTTGAAAGTACCTGCATGAACGGCATTCAAGATATCCAGAGAAGACGCCCTAGGGACGTGACCGGATAGATCCCCTTACCTCCAAGACGCACTGGTAACCACATGAACCCACTTTGGGAGAGGTGAAGGACGTCGTCAAGAAGGCTCGACGGGGCTCTACTCCTGGTCCTAACGCCATCCCGTACAAAGTGTACAAGATGTGCCCACTCCTACTGAAGAGGCTATGGAAACTCCTCAAGGTGGTTTGGAGGAAAGGGGAAGTACCAGAAAATAGATAAATACAGAATCCCTAAAGAAAGCCCAACACGGCAAAATTGAAAATGTTGCAGGCTCGGTTTGATTGAGCCTGTTCATGGACGGTACTGGAAAGTGCAAGTTACCGTCCACGCCCCCTAGCACCGGCTTAAGCAGAATTCAACATTTAAACACACAAAATGGTAAAATTTTGAATTTAGAAACATCCGCAGATGTGTACATACGGCGGTTATCATGGAACCTTCAATGTGACACAGTAGTGTCATTCCATGAAAAGCGGCGTATGGTCCCCAAGTAAAAGAGAATGCGTGTGCCCTAAACGAGAAAACAATGGGCGGAACTAAATAAAATGGAATTTTTTGAAAGGGGATCTGAGGTTATGAAGCCTGCATATCACAGATAAGACGTCAAAAGACAAATTTAAAAAGCAGGCAACATATCCTAAGGGTGATTCAACATTATTCAAGTAGGAATATTGAAACCACCCAACTAGAAAATGCCGAAAAGTTGAAACTAAAAATACCACAAGCACAATAATAATGTCGTGCTGAACGATCTTCAAGGATCGAAAATATAACATCATTGATTAAATGTACGGGGAGACTTTTTACAGCCGCCACACGGCACAAATAACACGGATGTGATCATAAAATAGATAAATACAGAATCCCTAAAGAAAGCAAAGCCTGGAAGGAAGCAGAGGGAATATTCACGCCCAAGGAAAGGAACTCCAAGACAGTCAATCAGTTCCGGACCATCTCGCTACTAAATGTCGAGGGGAAGATATTCTTCGCTATCCTGGCCAGAAGACTTACCTCTTTCCTGACGACCAACGCGTACATCGACACTTCAGTCCAGAAGGGTGGAGTACCTGGTTTCTCCGGTTGTGTAGAGCACACCAGCGCTATCACCCAACTAATTCAAGAGGCGAAGACGGGGAAGAAAGACTTGACAGTAGTTTGGCTCGATCTTGCCAACGCATACGGATCTATTCCCCATCAGCTGATCTACACAGCCCTCCAGCACTACCACGTCGACAACCATGTCCAGAAAATCATCACCAGCTACCTTGACGGCATCAAGCTTCGGTTTTCTGTTGGTGACCAGCTTACGAAGTGGCAGAAGTTGGAGAAAGGTATAGTCACCGGATGTACTGTTTCTGTGGTACTCTTCGTCATGGGGATGAATCTGCTCATCAATGCTGCCATTAGAGAGACCCGCAGACCAAAGACAGAGTCAGGTATCTACCTCCCATCAAGCCGAGGTTTTATGGATGACCTCACGTGAACGACACCAACACACGTCCAGGCTAGATGGATGTTGACAGCACTGACAGACGTCGCGTCATGGGCCCGAATGAAATTCAAGGCCGTAAAGTCCAGGTCCCTCATTATCAAGAAAGGCAAGACGACAGACAGATTCGTGCTCCGAGTACAGAACGAGGAGATCCCATCCATCACAAAGAACCCAATTAAGTGCCTTGGGAAGTGGTTTGATGCCAGCCTAGTAGACAAGGACAACGTCAAGAAGCTAGAGAACCAGGTAGAAGACGGGCTGAAGAAGATAGACCGGAGCAACCTACCTGGGAAGTTCAAGGCCTGGTTGTACCAGCATGCCTTACTACCAAGGCTGATCTGGCCAATGATGCTGTACGAGGTACCCAGCTCAACAATAGAAGCCTAAGAGAGAATCACCAGCCGACATCTTCGCAAGTGGCTTGGAAACTTATCTTACAAACTTCGTAAGATTTTGGGTCATGGTAATTTTTCTGCTGTTTTTACTAAAATTATTAAACGTTTTATTAAAAGAGGTTATGACCCTACTATTTTAAGACATACTGCATGTTTAGTGTTCAACCCTTTTACAGTTGGACACTACGCTTTCCTCTTTTGATTGCATCTGACGGACCAAGTGGGAGACTCTATGATGGATAGTTCGTAAAGCCCTTTGGGACTGAATTGTCTTAATGTTCGTCTTCTGCCTTGCTTCGTCGGGCCCTTGTAGGTGATTTTCTTGTTGCTCTGTCTTCCTTTAGGACATTGAGTACTTTTGTTATGGTCATTGGGTTTACTTTTATATGTTTCTACATGATCATTTTAGTGTTTTACTTATTTAACCTTTTGTAACCATGACAACTGTTAGAATTTCACTTGGCGGGGATTCATTTTTATTTACACTGTCTCGTTTATAGGAACATGGTGGGGCTAAGAGCGAAGTTTGGTGCACCATTAACCGGTTTTAAACTCCCCAGCAGTCATTATTATGCTGCTGACCGTTCCAAAGGCGGCGCCCCACTGTGTTCCTCAGATGTATGTCTATGTTGTTTCATACTGTTTTGGTGACACTTTTGCTTGTGTCCCTTGTTGTTTTCTCGTCTACGGTAAGTATCTTCCCCATTGCCTCTAGTTTTTATTTCTTTGATTAAACCCCCCCCCCTTCCCCCGGTCTCCTGTCCCCTTCCCCTTTGTGGGCCTATTATTATTTTCTTTGAATTCCTTATCAGTTACAAATTATTTATCATTTAATGATTAACGTGTCGTTGCCCTGTCCTTTTTATGTTTGGGGTCCGCCTGGGCTTCTTGCCATTGGTTCTTGTTGCTGGGTCATATGGGGGTTGCGTTCATTGAACGCCGCCTTTCCTTGTTGATCTTGTTTTTCATATTTTTTGGAATCCCACCCAGTTTCTCCAGTGTTGGACTGTATGGGAAAACCAACAAACTGCAACTCCCACTATCTTCACTGGTAGAAGAATTCAAGACGGCGAAGACAAGACTGGTGCTTACCCTAAGAGACTCCCCAGATGAGCAGATCCGGGAAGCAGGGATCGTTACCCGTACTGGAAGAAAGTGGTCAGCGACAGAGACTGTCAGCCAGGCGGAGAGCTCTCTCATGCACAAGGACATCGTCAGTGTAACGGCTGTCGGACGACAAGGTATTGGTGCAACCAAAACACTCCTATGGAGCTAAAATATGAAAAAGAAGATCAACAAGGAAAGGCGGCGTTCAATGAACGCAACCCCCATATGACCAAGCAACAAGAACCAATGGCAAGGAACCCAGGCGGACCCCAAACATAAAAAGGACAGGGCAACGACACGTTAATCATTAAATAATTTGGAACTGATTAGGAATTCAAAGAAAATAATAATAGGCCCACAAAGGGGAAGGGGACAGGAGACCGGGGGAAGGGGGGGGGGTTAATCAAAGAATTTAAAAACTAAGGGCAATGGGGAAGATACTTACCGTAGACGAGAAAACAATAAGCCAACCAGACTGAGAGGCGAGCCCTGATACAGTCAGAAGTACGGAAGGAAGAGGAGAACAAGAGACAGGCCAGAGCGGTAGAGATGGGTGCGCAGGGTGCATGGACAACGTGGGAAACCATGGAAAGGAAGCTGACCTGGGAAGACATCTGGAAGTATGAACCACTTCGTCTATCCTTCCTCCTCAGGTCAGTTCATGACCTCCTGCCATCTCCAGCTAACCTATGCGAATGGGGACTAATCACAGACCCAACATGCAGTCTGTGCAAGAAACCAGGCACTCTGGAACATGTTTTATCTTCCTGCTCCACAGCACTGACGCAGGCAGATATCGCTGGCGACACGACAACGTCCTCAGAGAGGTTGCCGATTGGCTGGAAGGGGAGAAGAAGAAGCCACGCAGAAGTAACTCACAGGCAGGCCCACATCAACTTTGTGAGACCGGGTGAAACTGCGAAGACAGAAGCTTCACAGAAGAAATCGATCCTTGACGGCGCCACAGGATGGAATATGTCAGCCGATCTAGGAAAGAAGCTTGTGTTCCCGGTATCGTCCAGACCAACTTGAGACCAAGACATTGTACTGTGGTCCGAGACAGGGAAGAAGCTCGTTTGTCATCGAGTTGACAGTACCTTGGGAGACGAGATGTGAAGAGGCCTATGAGAGGAAGAAGGCCAAGTACACTGAACTACTTGAGCAGTGCCGACACCGAGGTTGGCGGACTTGGCTATTCCCCATCGAAGTAGGCGCTAGAGGGTTCTGTGCGCAATCTGTATGTAGATTGATGACAGCTGTTGGCACCACTGGCAGAGACAGGCGCCGGGCAATCCAGAAGCTGAGCCAGGCTGCTGAGCGGGCGTCTAGCTGGCTGTGGCTACGACGCGAGGAGACAAGCTGGATGCGATCAACCTCCACACCGTAAGACGGTGGGCCCACCCGCCATTACAGATGTACTTGGATAAGGGCCGAAACATCTGGCGGGCACCAAGCTGACGATGGAGGAAGATCCGCAGTCGAGAACCAGACCTCAGAAAGGTGCGTTTAAGACTGTATTATCCACAACGTTTGCTTTATTTGGAATTTCGCATCTCATTCAACTGACATTTATAAATAATTGTGTGTCAAAATTATTCAGGGAAGAAAAAATAGCTTTCATCTTAACTTATTTCATAGTCAAGTGTGTTGATTTTTGCAAAGTAGGCAAAATGACAAAATACTGATAGTAATTATGAATTCTGTGTTGTGTGCTTATTTTCCGACATTCCGTAAAAACAAATCAGGTTTATGACTGTATTTTCCTATATAGTTACAAAAATGAATACAATTCATAACTACATTTTTGTATAAATAAAGATTGACAATTTGAATGTACGAACATTTACTCTAATTTTCTAAATACTTCAGACAATTAGCTATTGTCTGAGTTTACCTTCCTATGTAAGGTTTCAGACAATATAATGTCAAATATAACAGTAGTGTTGAGGGTTTTCCAAGACAAGCAAAGATAAAAAATGAATGCCACATTGCCAGAAGTGAAAAGGCAAATATTAAAACCCGAAACTGTACAAAAGTTAGATTACCAATATTGCTTACATCAAATCTGATGGAAATTCACATAATAATAATGTCACATAAAATATCTAAAATAATACGTGACAGCTAATGTCATATATTTGTCCAACCCAGTTATAAAATGTCCATACAGAAAAAATTGAATCTTAAATGAAATGCCATTGTATTTTTTTTAACCCTTTGATAAATTTTCGCTCATTAAAACCACAAAATAGATAAATACAGAATCCCTAAAGTAAGCCCAACACGGCAAAATTGAAAATGTTGCAGGCTCGGTTTGATTGAGCCTGTTCATGGACGGTACTGGAAAGTGCAAGTTACCATCCACGCCCCCTAGCACCGGCTTAAGCAGAATTCAACATTTAAACATGAAATAGTAAAATTTTGAATTTAGAAACATCCGCAGATGTGTTCATACGGCGGTTATCATGGAACCTTCAATGTGACACTTCCGTGCCATTCCATGAAAAGCGGCGTATGGTCCCCAAGTAATAAAAAGCGTGTGCCTTAAACGAGAAAACAATGGGCGGAACTAAATAAAATGGAATTTTGAAAGGGGATCAGAGGTTATGAAGCCTGCGTATCACAGATAAGACGTCAAAAGACAAATTTAAAAAGCAGGCAACATATCCTAAGGGTGATTCAACATTATTCAAGTAGGAATATTGGAACCACCCAACTAGAAAATGCCGAAAAGTTGAAACTAAAAAATACTACAAGCACAACAATAATGTCGTGCTGAACGATCTTCAAGGATCGAAAATATAACATCATTGATTAAATGTACGGGGAGACTTTTTACAGCCGCCACACGGCACAAATAACACTTACGGAAAACCTTATATTAAAGGCAAATGGGAGAGTTTGTGTTATATTTGTATTTCTATGAGCAAAACTGCAAAGTAAATTTTGACTGAAGAGGGACAAAACAAAAATTTCCTCCAAAGGTATACAGCAGTAACTCATGTTCCAATATTCGGCCAGTGCAATCACTTTATTTTTCACCTAAAACTAAAACAATATAATCATCTTGAACGTCTAAAGAATAGAACAAACAAAGCAGCCAAAAACCATATTAAAGGCATCTAACTGACTTATTACTTTTTCCTGATACAAGAACTGCTGTTCACAATCAGTACAAATTTGATGTGTGTTTGATGCTTATTTGACTTTGACACGAAATACCCCAAAATGCTTACACTGAATGAAATAACTTTTACGGATCATAATTGTAGCCAAATCATCACAATACAATAACGAGTCTATCAAATCGTAAAAGCAATTGCTTTTCAACATTAAAACAAATATGAATCAATTTACATTTTATACATGATGCATGCCAATTACGTGCGAACCCGTATTATTATGGAATGTATTCCAAGCTTAGGCACAGATGCGCAAACAATTAACTTGTAATGTAAATGAATTGTTTGTCATAATCGCTGTTACTCTACCTTCATCTATGCATAAAATGTGTATCACTTCATATTTGTTCTCTGGCACAAGACAGTTTGTCGAAAAACGTCTCTATTGTTATAATTGATATTGTATATCATTTGGAAATTGATTCACTTTGACCTAATTCTCAAAGGGAATCCGTACCATTGATATCTACCAAATAACCTAGGAGGGGTCGTAGTTGAACTAGCGTTGTGACTTTATTTTGTTCATTTCATTTATGTTTTCTGCAAATAGCACAAGTAATGGTTACTGGTTAGTTTCATTGATTTATATTTTATCATAAAACGTAAATATAAGAACCCGTCATATTAAATATAACAAATATTAATGATAAAATTGGCATTAAATACAAAATCATTATCATTTAAGGAAAGAATATAGCTTCCATAGAGTTAATACTGCAACATTTTAACACAGGTTTGATTTAACTTTAAAACACACAGTCAGAAAGATAATGATTTGGTTCTTCTTAATCAGAAAATAAATTGTTTTACAATGATTCTTATCTTTCTAAAGTATTTTATTGAAAGCATGATGAAAAAATTGGAATTGCATAGTTACGTAAAAAGTGTCTAAAATAGAGAATACTCCTTTCAGGAACACCTGAAGTATTCATTAGCATAAAATAACGGACACTCTTCAAACAAATACGTATTGTGATAGTTTAATAGTATATATACCTAGTTCCATTTGTTACATGCTTAAAGTTACGTTAACTTCCATGCACATGCAATCTTATAGGAAGAAGTTATCCTATTGACATGTTATCTAAGTTCTTCTGGATATCATCATTACCTTAACAAATAGATAAAAGTAACTTTCTTTTATCAAACTGGAACAGCTATTTTGTGAATTATTTTTAAAATTACTCTGGATAGTTTTTTATAACTTTTTTATCCAAACGAATATTGAATAAATTCCAAAATGCTTGTAGAAACATTATTATATCAAACATAAACATTATAATATAAAACATAAAACGTAATCATATTAAACATTAAGATAAACGGTATGTGGAAACATATACTTCACAAGCAACACCGGCGTGACGGAATATAAATACATTCAAAAGAACTTCCTTCGCCTTCAATTTTTATAGCATGGCATAGTTTGCAAAAACAAATATGAATACATCAAAGAGAAAGATATGCTAATGCCACAAAATGATATAATTATTTAAGATTGCAGGGTGAACCGTCATTCCAAATATAATACAGGAAAACATTGATGATACTGTTAATAAAATGTTGATATCTGCTGTAATACTTTCTTGTCCTTAAAGCGATCTACAGCTTTTGGTGGAAGACACATTTTGTGTTGCTGTTTTCAAAGTATTCTTGAAAAAGTGCTGAGTCTTTTTCAAAACAGCGCCCAAGAGCTTTTAATTCGTGGGTGACGTTCGTTTCTAAGATAGAAATCGGGAAACAAATCACCTGCTTTACTAGGGCAGACCGGTAGATTAAAGGTATCAAAAAGTTATTTTATTGTTTATGTATTTCATCAACGGCAAATTCATTTTTCACCATAATTTGTTTGATTGACAATTATATGAAACGATTGTTCTGAAACCTATTTAACCTTTGACCGCTGTTACTAGAATGGAAAATGCATTGCTCACTCAATTATCAGACAAACTCTTATAGTTAATTACTTCGATGACGCACAATAGGACCACTGATTGGTAGGGTGGGTTAGTAATAAAATGTAATGATCTGTAATCTACAATGCGATGCTGTTATTTTTTATATTATAATTATATCACTCGGGCTGTCAAGGTCTTTTTACAAAAGTTATATGTTGAGGGTATTTTCAAGTGATTGGCCCGCATAAATTGCGACTACTAAGCAACAAGCTTTTAATATATCATTATGGAAGTATGGAACTTCCAAATACTAGTTACTGCCGTTGTCTTAAAATAATCAATATACAAAAAGACTAATTATCAAAACATAAACAGAATAATTATCTAAACTTTCAAGTTGTAGGATAAACATGTAATACTTTTTATCTTCAGCTTGTAGCACGCAGTCTACATAAGATGTTCCATTAATCACTTTCAATCGTCAGCCATTTTTGCATGGTGAAAGTTGAAATGCATTTGGATTTCATTGCCCATTTACCCATCAAATTGACCTGAATAAAATAACAAATTCGTTTTCTTCTTGTCGTAAAGTGCTTTTTTCTGCAATTGAATTAAAATGTGAGACAGTCTTTTTATACGCCTTCCAAAGGCAACAGAAGTATGATAAAAATCAAATGTTAAAAGTCGACGAAACGATATATTTCTGCAAATGTAAGCTAATTTTCCATTTTATCGTTGATATGAAACCATACCTGCATGTTTTAGTTAGATTATATCAGACTATTTTGAACATTGTTACTGAAACAAAGATACGCTCATGTTACCATTTGGAGTAACAAATTCTCATTATTTCTAATGCAAAATGCAAAGTTAACGTTTGAATGATTTAATCTAAACTTTACGCTTATCCTTTTTAGCTCGACTATTCGATAAGAATAAGTAGAACTATTAA